GATTGACATCTTTTTTGTGACAAGAATTCAAAAAACCTAGAAATTAGTGAGCACAATTAAAAATGCGAGGTATTCCAGCACCTGTTCTCAGATAATTATCAATCAAATCAAGATTAGGGAAGCTTGGGCGGGTTATTCATTTCATTTCATCTGGAAATTATGCATTTGCAGAGGCGAATACTTCGTGTTTGTTGGGGAAAACCTGCCTCCCAGGGTGGAAGCGAGATTGTGGCTCAAGCAGGACTTCCATTACGACAATGTGATGGCGGCAATGCTGACTTTGTTCGCGGTCCAAACGGGTGAAGGATGGCCTCAGTGAGTCGTCCCCGAGTTTTTTATTTTGAAAGTTTCAGCACCGAAAAAAAAAACAACGACGAACATTTGCAATCTCTCCCTTTTCACCTCTTTTTTTTTATTTATTTCAGAGTGTTGCAGAATTCGATGGCAGCGACGTACGAAGATAGCGGACCCATACCGCATTTTAGGATCGAAATGTCCATCTTCTACATCGTGTACTTCATCGTGTTTCCGTTCTTCTTCGTGAACATCTTCGTCGCCTTGATTATCATCACGTTTCAAGAACAAGGCGAAGCGGAATTGCAAGACGGAGAAATTGATAAGAACCAGGTTTGAAAAAATTGCTTATATTCGAAGCGTTGCTTGGGCATTATAGACAGTCGATTTTTCAATACTCACTCTTTCGCTTCTTATGCAATGTTTGGCGGGTGTAGCTGGAGTAATTCAAGTCTTGGAAGAGAAATCACTTGCGTTTTATGACAATGAACTTGTCTCGATTAACTTTAACAACAACTGAATACTGTAGTGTAGTTCATACTTATTCAAATAAGGCGCGTGAAATCCCACTTCAAGCATTTCACCCGTAACCCACATCGAAATATGCTAAATAAAACCTATTAATCTGACGTCGATGGATATTTTATAAAGCGTGTGCGAAGATTTCTGTAGCTGTATGAGTATTTGTCAAGAAAAATAATATTTTGGCTTTTTGAGTTTGGTTTCAGAAAGCATGCGACATCTATGTCAGCGCAATGAATAAAATAAATTTTTAGAAGCGAGATGATGCAATGCTTGAGTTTTAGCCTCATGATTGATTTTCAAACCTTTATTTTTTCTAGAAATTTGACAACCCTTAAAGCCTCAAAGGCATCTTCATGAGCTTCACGTGCAGTGCAAAATTTTTTTAAATGACTATGTAGTATGATAGAAGAAGGAATCCTGAGAAACGAATTTTTTTGGGATCGAAATGGAGTAAATTTCCATAGCTATGGATCTTTGCAAAATTTCGTATTAAGCTCAAATAAGGTATTCGACTTTCTCCGGAAGGAAAAATGGACAAGTAAAATACGTGAAAAAAAGCCTGATGCTTTGAATTTTTCATTCGCATTCCATGAAAATATTTTCTGAATGAGGCGGACGAGCAAAAAAAATCGAAAAAAATTGGATGAGGAATTTCCTGGAGCAAATTCCTCTTCAAAATTATTTCATGTGATTTCCTTGCCGGGGAAAAATGTTTTTGCAGAAATCCTGCATCGATTTTGCAATACAAGCGAAACCCTTGGAGCGATACATGCCCAAAGATCGGCTGTCGATGAAGTACAAAATTTGGCGGATAGTCGTGTCGACACCGTTTGAGTACTTCATCATGGCCTTGATTGTCACCAATACGGTTCTGCTTATGATGAAGGTAAGTTTTTTTTTGCGAAATGTTTATCCAGTTTTTGAAGTATCGAGCATAAAAAAGTCGAAAGACAATATTTGACTCTCCTGTTCAGGATTGATCCGGAATTTTAAGAGGTCTTTCAGAGTCCTCGGTATTTTGAGGCGTTTGAAGCTAAGGCAGCTGCTTTTTTTTTATCAATTACTTATTTCACGTCATTTTTCCAAAACTTTTTCTCAATTGCTCATCAAGGTTTTTCCGTTTCTATAAACGGGTTTAGCATGGAAATCTTTTCCTCCTTTTTCTTACGGAGGAGGAAAGAGGACATTTCGAACGCACTTTTTTCTTGTTCGAAGCGAGAAAAATTGGCAGAAAGGGTGCTTTTTTCTTCCCTGACCGGGGCATCAGGTCATTCAAGCATCATATATTCATGCAAATTTTACCAGTTCCATATATTTCAATTAATTTCTTTATTGCTACGGGGTTCGGATGTGCGACGTCGTGTCTTTATTTTTTCTATCTCGTGTTGCCTCTTCGGACCTCGTGCGTGTGCGCTCTTTTTGTGTGTTCATTATTCCTCAGTTTCTTTCGAGTTTCCTTCAGTATTCCTTTTTACGTGTTTATTTTTTGTTGTTGGAATGGAGCATGCGATTTTCAAGTAAAACTTGGTTGAAGGTCTTTTGTTTCGAGAGAGTTTTAGAGGAAAGAATATTTATTCCCATATTCAGCGTTACGTGTAGTTCAAGTTTGCAACCTACGTTTTTCTTTAATTTTGCCTCTGAATTTATCGAAAAAAAATGGTTTTGTTTCTCGTAGAACAAACAGGAATAAGCCATGTTTCCCTTTCGTCGGTTAAAGGAGTATAATTTTATTCAATTCATGTTCCGATATAGATGGGAAAGGTTCGGTTTTAGCTTACGTATTCAATATGCGCTTAAATCAATTGTTAATTGTTTAATTACGAATTATTATTTTTTTGTTCCGTAATTTGTGTCTTTTTGTATGTTTTGCTGAAAAGAAAAGAGCAAGAATTTGTCGAGAAAAATGTTTTCTCGTGGTGCTGAAGCATCTTTCTTGCACGAGCATTTTCGACTTGCTGGATTATTCGGCGCATGACAATTTTCTGGCAACGGCAAAAAATATTGCTACTTTTTTTTTGAAGCGAATAACATTTGTAATGAAGTGAAATGATTGAGTTTTTTGCCGTTGATCCAGGCTGTTTATTACTGGGAATGACGACCGACGTGAAACAACACGCGACATGATTCAGATCACGAGAAGAAATCTTTTGCGGTGCCGGAAATGTTTTCGGACTTTAACCGGAAATTGCATGTTTTCTTCCTCTCTATATAGTTCGGAAGACCCGACGAAAACCTCGTTATGATGATGACAGTCTTTCGGATGTAATTCTTTTTTCAACATCAACTCAGTTTCTGCTGCATGTGTTGCATGGACTGCTTTTCAAACAGTTTCAACGTCTCGAATCGAATATATACGTATACGAAGCTCTGTATTTCCCAGCAGTGACACAATTATTTCTTGAAAATTATGTCATGAATTGATGGAAGTATTAATCTTATTCGCTTTTTACTTCTGTTAATAGTTTTCCAGGTTCATGTAATATTCGTGCATGATGTGCATTTGTTCCGAGTTTTATCTCTAATCTTGAAATTTATTGATGATACGGAATTTACTTTCTCTGCCGAAAAAGTGAAGAAAAAAAAGAATTGTGACAGAATTTTTACTGGAATGTATATTTTGCGTCGTTGTCAAGAAAGTTGTCAGGACTGGAAAACGATATATATTGTACAGACACAGTAAAGCAGGCTTGGAAGCCCAAAACGTAACCCTAGATGTCGCTGCAATTTATTCAAGCTTTATATAACGAGGATTCGCTGCGGTTTTCCACATGAGCATCAACCCAAAAGTATTTAGCGGTAGTCCAATTTACGTTTGCCTCCTTGAGTTCTTCTTGGTTTCGAAATTACCAGCACGCTTCATCACGAGGCCTGCGCTTACTTTTTATTAATTAGGCAGAATTAATTATGATCGATTATGTCCTTCAGAGTCGATCCCACCTGTCTGTCTACCCCCGGTATAATTGCGACTCTTCAGTTTGCGAAAATCTGCGGCACGCGGACGAGGGCGACGATTTGGCGGATGTCTAAAATTTATTATTCGCTTTCGTTGTGTAAAAAAAAAGAATTTAAAGACAAACATTTTCTAAATATTTTACATGTTCTTACTGCCTAGTATTTCAGTTCATACCTTTTAAGCGTTTTCAGAAGAAAAGGGCAAGAATAGATTGTATTTTCGGGAGCCTGGAAAAGTTATAAGTAGGTGAAGCTGATATTGAACGGAGTCTGGAATCAAAACAAGAAAAAGTCTTACACATGGAACTTCATTTTTTCCAGGTTCCAATAATGGGTGAAAATTACTCAAAATTCATGGTTTCCAATGCTGTTTAATTTTATTTGATTCCCTGAAATTTTGAAACATTATAAAATCTCTAGAGACGAGAAACACTTTGTAAGTGTCACGATACTAAACTTTTTGAATTATCCTCCATTAAAGTCTATTTTAAATTCCAAAGGCTATTTCCTTTGAAAGTTTAAGTGCTCCAAAAACCTACCTGAAAGGTTATCCAATTTTAAAAATACAGGCCTGATTCGAATTTAGAGTCAAAATCGAGGCCAGCTTTTCCGAATTTCGAGTCTAGTTCAGAATCGAAGTTTGAATAAAACTATGATAAATTTCTCTTTCGCAAAAAAAGGTGGGAAAGTTGGTAACACCTTCGACGTTTCATCATCCGTATTTTTCATTTATTCATTTTTTAGCACGATAAGCAGCCCGAAGACTATCAGAAAACGCTGCGTTACATGAATGTTTCCTTCACTGCCCTGTTCTCGGTCGAGTGTATCCTCAAGATCATCGCGTTTGGCGGCAGGGTAAGATTTCGGCGACCCTTAGAAATGCAGAAAAAATGACAGATATTTTCCTGTTTTGGTTTTCGCGTCTGAGGCATTGAAGGAAGGTTTTACATGGCTGTTCTGGGACTATATAGAGACAGCTCTTGGAACTGCGACTTTCTTGTCTCGAAGGAACGTCTCGTCGTTGTTTTTTTTTTTTTCGCGAGCATGTGCAAATAATTTTGGAATATTTGGAGGAAAACGCTGCAGGGAACACGTTTCGTGCGAAAACACGCGACACTACACTGACAAACACGGTTCCTTGAACACGGGTGACATCTGGTTCAGGATTTAGTTCAAATGAACAACTTATTCACGACCTGGAAGCGATGTAAATTTTGAATTGCAATTCCATTCTAAAATTGGCGAATGGTTTACCTTGGAATGGAATAACATTTGAAGCAAAAATTAATGTTTTTCCAAAGACATTCATTTATTCATTCAGCAGAAAATTTTACTTGAAATAGTTTGATCGAGAACGAATTGAGAAGTTATTTTTCCAATCAAGGTGTCGTTTTACGTAGAAAATTCAATCGAGAATGATGTCGCTTTTTTTTAAAGGAGAAATGTTCTTATTTTCAAATATTGAAAACAAACGAGGTATCAGAATAAGTCACCCTGGGCATGTAAAATTTGCGTGTGTGTGTGTGTGTGTGTGTTTGCGTGTTGGGAAAAGTATGAAACATGAACAGCATGAGAATGCAGAAGCACGTTTTGCACTTGGCATGAACTTAGAATGGCGAGCGAATTTCGGCAGTAGAAGAAAATCTTTGTTGCATGCAAAAAAAACAAAAAAACATTCAGCACATCGCACTTCGCTTTTTCTTTTTTAGTTTCGATGCTTTACATTTTTTGCCTGTGCAAGCAAATTTAAAAAAGAATAATATCGAAAAAACCGCTTGGATGATGCATTTTTGAGAATCATAAGTTTTCTCAATATTTATTTTTTCCGGAATGATGAATTATTCGATCCCTTTTTTCATTGATCATCGTTTTATTGTCATGGGTTCGCTATAGCAAAGTGAGACTATTATTTTTAGCTGCCTTAGCGAGATTGACGTCTGCTAATTCATCCTGATTTTTGGTGGCCAAAAATAGTTCACCGCATTTTCGCCGCGTCAACAGAGAGTGTAATTCCAAACTGGGACCAAAAAAAAAAGTTTTTAGTTCTCCTGAAATTTGTTTTGAGTTCAAAATCCTACTGGAGTTTGAGGTACGGAGTCAGTCTCATCCAAATTCCAAATCCTACAAGGAGCCTCTGATACACCGTAGATAAAAATATGGGCTCTTCATACGAATTGTAGAATAATTATTTATAGATTTCGAACTTGGAAATGGAGCTTGGATGAGGACTTAGAATAAAGGACAGTTCCTTATAGACGAGAGTAGAAACATAATTGCATATAGTGAGTGGTATTGTATAAGAAGAAGATTCGGTGGCGTTCGAAACAAATTAATTGGCCTTGTCTTTTTCCCCCTCACTTCCTTTTTCTCCTCCTCCTCCTCCTCCTGTATTTTCCCCCTGCTCCATCTTTTTTCCTGCTGTTCCTCATCTTCATCTCCCGGTGAAACAAAAAAATGAACGAAATTCGTGGACTACACGAACAAAACATTCCCTTAAAAAAAAAAAAAAAAACATTTATAGTATAACCAGCAGCCTGCACGCTATGGAGCGGCCCTTAGCATCGCGAACTCAGTTTTCACCCTCTTCTTCCTCGTTGAGTGCTCCCTGAAGCTGTCAGCATTTGGATTTCGGGTAACAATTTTCCATCTTCAACTTCATTTTTCGTTCGTGTGTCGGTGTGTGACGTGAAACTCATTTCCCCTTGGTTGGTTTCATACATATATATGAATCTTCTTCTTTTTTCTCGGTTATATATTACTGCTATGATGATGTGGCGAACAAGTGTTCGTCGCATTTGTTCCGGTATATCTTATTATTCGTTGACGTTGTCATGGGTTTCCTAATCAAGGGCCGTGTGGTTCTCCGTTTCGAGCACAATTTTCCTGCTTAATTTTTTTTTATGAAGAGAAAAGTTATGGCTTGAAAATTGGAATGATCAATATGCAGACTATTTTGTGTGTGTTTGAGGCACAATTGTTGACCAATAATTTAGGGAAACTATATGCGATGCACCCGTAAAACAGTCGAAAACTTCTCAACGCATTTCTTGTAGGATAAAATTTGCTTGGAAATGGGAATGATCAATATGTATGCTTGTTTAGGACACACTTTTAAACCAATAATTTGGGTATGCTATGCAATGCAGTCCACCTTGAAATATTAGGAAATTTTTAAACTAATTCCTTGAATAAGGGAAATATTCGGCTTGGAAATTGGAATGATTAATATGCTGATTTTTAAAACCATTTATTGTTTTTTCAGACACATTTTTAAACCAAGTGGGAGCCAGCTGAAAGAGTCAAATAATTTAGGTATACATTTCAATACGCCCTAAAATATTCGGATGCAATTCAACTCATTTCTTGAATTCCTCACGAGAACTCTTTTAATTTTGAAAGCCTACCTTTGTGTTGAAGAATTTTTCAGGCACGTTTCACTTTTCAAATGCATTTCCAGACCAAAATTGAGGTAATCTGACTGAACATTGTCCCTACAATCTCAATCGCTGATCACAAGCGAACATAAAAAAAATATTTCTTCAGCACAAAAAAATACCAACCTCGAAAAATGTAGGTAAATTCAGGCGACACCTATGTTAACGCTGAGAAAATGAAAAACACTTGAGGACACCTGGTATATATGTTAATGGAGATGAAGCCCACGCAATTAGATGTGCAATTTTTTTGTCGAATATTTTAAGGGTCATTTTTTTAATCATCGATGTCGATACTTGTTGATTTGTTTTTAGAATTTTATTCAAATGAAGGCGTGAAGCATTCCTCTGTTGTACAAGGTCATTCTTCATTGTTCACGCCAAAAACTATAAGTAGCCAAAATTTAATGATGTCTCACTGCGAAAACTTTACGTGATACTCCCAAAATTTGATTTAAAATTGCCAAGTATTTCTTTTCAATTCAGGAATTGTTTCTCAGTTATGAGAAACTTCATTTTCTGAGGTTCTAGGAATCCATTTGTTTGAGGAAATTTTCGGCGAACATCACAAAGCTTTGAATATCCACGAACTACACTAAAGTTTGTAAGCCGTTCCAAGCAATTTTGTAAAGCTCTATTTGGGCCAGCAGAAAATCGTTCGATTGAAGAACCACACGATGCTGTTTTTGCTCGGATTGATTTTAGCCATCCGATTTTTTTATTTTTTATTTTTGCAATCATCACGAATATTCTAAGGTAACTGCGTGTTTTGCAGTTTTCGTTTTTTTGCGGAATTTTTTGCGTGTGTTCTGAGGATTTAGAGCATTAGATAGCAGAATTTTTCCTGTGAGAATTTTTTCGTCAGACACACACACACTAGAGTAGCATCATTGAAGGATGAATAAACGATCGATTGATCGATTTATTTTTATCATCAGTATTATTTTTACCTAGAATTAGTCTCGACTAAAGATGGCATGCTGTTCGGGGTGGGTGTGGAAGAAGAGAAAAGGTTTTCCTTGGACACGAGGAACAAGTCTTGGGGATTTTCGAAAGTTTTGATATATATATATATGCATAAATGGGTTATGTTCTTCGCGGACTTTGTCACGGTTCCAGTAGTTTGTCTCTTGTTATACATATTTGTCCGCTGTGGACAGTTTTCCTGGATTCCATTATTCTCTTCCTTCTTGGCCTTTACGCTTCTCCTTTATCGTCATTGGATATTTTTGTTGTGGTTGGCTCTTTCGTTGCTTATTCCGTTATTTGGGTGTTTGAAATGAATTGCGAAGAATTTGAGCTAACGCTGGTTAATTTGGGTGTGAGCAGAACTTCTTTCAAGATCCATGGAACACCTTCGACTTCATCACCGTGCTTGGAAGCATCGTTGATGCCTTGGCAGTGGAGATCGGGGTGAGTGATTTATTTCTTTATTTAAGCAAAAATGTTTGCGGATTTTTCTGTCAGCTCATTTACATTCTGAGTATAATTAAATTTAATTTAAGGCAGCCGACAGTCACGATGATAGCTCTCGAACGTCGCCGTGAAGGATCTATATTATTTTTTTTTTGAAGAAGTTATTTATTTTAGTAATATTTCCGTCTATATGATTAACGCATCTTCAATTCTTGTTTTGAAGAAAAGTATTTTACCTTTCATTCCTGTGATAATTTATCACAAGAGATCTTCTGCGGTAAAAATAATTTCAGGAATGGAACAAAGACGCACGATAGCAGGAAAAAGTGCCGTGTTGCTCATTCGTCTGATTTGATGCACTTGATGAAAGAAAAAAAAGTTAAAATTGTTTCGTGTTCTTTGTCAATTAAATGCATTTTGAGACACGCTCTAGAAATTGCGATTTATAAATTGCAGGGCAACTTTCTGAACGTCGGGTTTCTGAGGCTTTTCAGGGCTGCAAGGCTCATCAAGCTTCTACGACAGGGCTACACAATTCGTATACTTTTATGGACGTTTGTGCAGTCTTTCAAGGTTTGTTTTTTTTGTTGTTGTTGTTGGAAATCCATTCGTGAAAGGAGGAAAAACCAATGCTGGATTATTCATTTTCGTTTCTTCTTACACACAGGCTTTGCCATATGTTTGCCTTCTCATAGCCATGTTGTTCTTCATCTACGCAATCATTGGAATGCAGGTACAGTTTGATACCATATTTTCCCTCAGATTTGAATAATATCAATATTTCAATGGAAAAATATTAATATTCGAAGGGTGCCTGATTTTTACGTGCTGTCGAAATTTCTCTTTTTGATTTCCCTGCAGTATTTCAAGCAATCATATGAAAGTTTTGGGAATGTGAACAGATGATTTGAATTTATTTGGTAAACCACTTTCTTCAATCATTTGGTATCGCTGCGAAAATATAAACCAAACAGTGCAAACCGACTTTGAAATGTGAAAAATTGGCATATACAAAGTGTTATATTTTTTTTAGCAAGATAATCAAGACATGCGTGTACTTTAAGCCCCAAAAACGTTTTTAGACTTCTGGAGATACATTTATGCGGATTTATTCTGCGCGAAAATCAGGTACCCGTCGTCAGAGAAAAGATTTGCATTTTAATAATGTGGTGTCCTGAGGATTTTCTTTTATATCATCGTCGTAAATTCGACGCGTCTTGTTATTGAATTACTGTATTGAAGAATTGATCACAATATTCGTAAATTACGGCATTTAAAATGGGTTGAATCGCGGTGAGGAATATTTGAAGAAAAGATAATAAAATTTTGACAGATTGTTGAGATGATGACAAATTGTTGGTGTTGGGTCGGGGTTATTGGGCTCAGGTGTTCGGGAACATGCGATTGGTGGCCACAGGCGAGCTCAATCGCAATAACAACTTTCAGAATTTCTTCGCTGCCTTAATGTTACTGTTCCGGTGAGTGCTTCGGCAGTCGGCATTAGGAAGCGAGAAAAAAAGCAGTTTTCTCAGCGTTGGACTTAGTTTTCATATATATATACACAGTACTTATTGCCATCAGGGCAAACTATTTTCCACTAGGTGTCGTTGCTGTTCAACGACTCATGAGTATATGCGTAGCTGCTGAAGTATTTCTCTTATTATCTTCTGAGCTCTATATTATATATCTATAGATATTATTTTTATTTATTTTTTTCTTGCGATAGTCTCCAATTAGGGAGTTTTGTGGGTTTCTTGATATTTTAGCGAATATTAGGGACGTGGGATTCGCAATTGAACTTCTGAAGTGTAATTGTAATCTCTTTCTTTTTTTTCCTTTTCTCCATTTTCTCTTCTTCGTTCTCTGCGCTTTCTTTTGCTTTTCTTTATTCTTGCCTTTACCATCCATATTTTGGGCCTCTTTTTTTTCCGTATTTTCGTCATTGGGTTGTTTGGTGTAGGTTTTCGGCAATGTATTGTTGGACCCTGGTTCCTCCATTACTCGTCATAATAATTTCCGCTCGTTCTTCCAAGGGCTTATGCTACTCTTCAGGCAAGTTGCCCTGTATTTTTTTTCTTCAATTTTTGCAAAAGAAACTTACTTGAAAGTCGGAGGGATTTTTCCTCGCAATTTTCCTGCGGAACTCATTTTTGAAAGAAGAAAAAATTGCGAACTAGTTTATAGCGTGTGTATCCACGTCCGAAGTCTTGCGGTAGTTGTCGAAAGTCGAATCTTTCGAGTAACTTTTAGAATAGTCTCTTTCCAACTACTAGATATTTTCGAAGTTTGTTTTTCAGTATTGACGGATTTTTCGCTAGTCAATGAAATTAGAGGTAACCAGCAGCAATTCGACACAGTCTGCGGAGGTTGTACTAGTTATTATGCGTGGCTTGGAATTAATTTGGAACAATCAGCTGTGCAAAAATTATTTTACTAAATGATATATTTCAGGCATGTCAGACAATTTTATCGACATTTACAAGCTTGCATAAAAGGAGAAAGAGGGAGACAATTTTTGCTCATAAAATGTTAGCTTCACGTTCTTGAAGTGGAAAAGATTTTGAAAATGTTCATGCCTAGCCTTTGCTATTTCAATCAATAAGAGGAGATGAAATTGCATTAAAAGCTGAATAAAGCCGTTCTATTGGCGTGCAAAACCGGGACGGGAGGTGTCAAATTCTGCTGTCGCCGAAAATTCGACATTTAGGGAAATCGGCAATAAATTGTTCGTTTGTCAGAGAAGACATTTTATTGGTAACAGCAAAAAAAGTTGCTCGCAGAAAATTTCGCTAATTTTTCGATTCAAGCCTTATTTACGTTTTCATGACCATTCAAGCAGTGCGGGGAATTTTCTATTTAATTGTGAACCTTTTTAAAATTGCCACGCTTAATATCTGGTACAATCTTCGCACAGTTTTTTTATCTCGTCGTTATTTCAGAAATACCTCCAAATAACGTCTAATAATGCAAATCTCTCATCGTGTGTCCATGACATGTGATTTTTTTTTGTCCTTTTAATTTTCTAACTTGTGTCATCCCCGCTGCATTTGAGTTGTCATTTTACATTTTCCTCTCCGCCCCCCGCAACCCCCTTGGCCTTATTGCGTGTTTTTCTTCTGATCGTCCCCGTCGTGGATGGATGCTTTGCGTGTTTGTGGCCATCATGCAATCAATCCCCAAACCGAAACAAAACACGGAATCGGGTGGACCCATCGCGGAATGAATGCAGATGTGCGACGGGTGAGTCGTGGCAGGCCATCATGTTGTCCTGCATCAAGGGCAGGCCTTGTGATCCGCGCACACTGACGCGCACGTCAGAGAACGGGGAAGTGATTTACTTGGAG